CCGAACCTCTACTATCATAAAAAACCTACCTGGCCCAGGCTGGGCACTTATACCGCTGTGTTGGACACACAGAGGACCCAAGCCCGAGCTTGAAAAGGGCTCTTTGCTCTCACATACAGATTCTGACTCCTTGGTGGCCATTTGGGGTACTCAGCGATCTGGGCACAACAGTCGTGGACCTGGAGTCTAACTACTTCTATCCTGTTTTTGATAAAGTGAATTAGAAGATTTATACGGCATGCATCAAACAGTAGAATCAGGAGAATTACAACCAAGAGCCCCACTGGTGGGGGGTGGGAAGCCCAGCCTGCGTCCATATGGTAATCAGGACTCATTCTGATGCCCTAGCTAAGCTTTCAGTGTACTGTAAAACTTAATTTCTGTTTCTCTGCATCGGGTTACAACCCATCCTATGATCACAAATTGTTCTGGAACAGGTATTCTGGGCAGATTTCCTTAACTTCTGTTCTGGCTTCTGTATCTATGCTTGCTTGTAAAATCCCATCCTGTGGTTTTATTCTGCTAAAGGAGCTTGAGAAACTGCTCAGGGCTGTTCTTCCAATTTCTGTCTTAGAGGGAGACAGCCCCCAGTTTGGCTTTGGGTGCACTGAATAAACCTTGCTTCAGTTTGGCTTCAGTTTGGATTGAGGGTTTCTCTTCTCTCACCCATAGATTAACAGTGACTAGCTATGGCCCAGGAGGCACAGGGTTCACCCTATTAAGAGCTTTTGGTTTTATCTCTGGCCTATATTCATTGTACCTGTTACCTAGCATTTTCTCTCACTGTTCCTCTTTGGTTTGCACAGAAACATCCTTCTCCTAGGAAGACACCTGTGCCACCTACTGGGCCCTGACTGTTGAGGGTAGAGACCCAGAGACCACTAGGCATGTCCAAATCCCGAATTCAGAGTCTATATTAAGCCGGCAACTGCTTGGAGAGAAACACGTCTCATAGAGAAGCCTTGAGTGCATTTTATAGGAAAAATTTAAAGACCAAAACACAGAAAAACCACAGCCTGGTTGGCACTTGCAGGGGGAGTAAAGCAAGCAGTTTTATTATGGGTAGCCCAGCAGAGATGACTGCTCAGACAGACACAGTTTATAGCCAATTGAAAGCCTTTATTCTGGCCAACTGGGACCATACCCAGATATTCAGGGGACCCAGGTATGACCATGAGTGTCCAAAGCACAGGATTTTTGAAGGCAAAAACCATGCCCTGGCATCTCAAACCACAGTTGCAGAGAGCTGCCTTCACAGAAGCAAGCAGTTAGCGTGGAAGGGGGCAAGGTTCTAAACTGGCAGTTGAACTGAAGCTTAGGTCAGTTAGCTGAAGGGGGTTCCTACACAAACCAGCAGTTAGACAGGTCATCCTGATTTGGGGTTCCTAGAATAGAGCTGGGTAATTTTCCATGGGATTCTGATGGAGAAAGGTCATTGGCTAATAAAGAAACTGGCTTGGCCCATTTTATTGGTTAGAACATAGGTGGGAGGAGTAAACAGATAGGATGCTGGGTGGAAGAGGAAGTAAGGTCAGACTCTGCTCTGCTTCCGGAGAGACCCGACAGCTCTGCTCTCTGGAGCAGAGACGCCATGCTCAGCTCTCCTGGAGAGACTCGACAGTTCTGCTCTGGAGCAGAGACGCCATGCTCCGCTCTCCCGATAGCTCTGCTCTTTGAGGCACACGCGATGAAGCTCCGACCCAAGATGGACATAGGTTAGAATCTTCCCGGTAAGTGCACCTTGGGGTGCTTACACGCATTATTAGAAATGGGCTAAATTAATATGTGAGAATTAGCCTAGAAGAGGCTAGATAGAAATGGGTCAAACAGTTAAATGAATACAGTTTGTGTGTTGTTATTTCGGGCATGAGCTAGCAGGCGGCCGGGGTGCTGGGGACGAAGCCCCACCGCTCCTATTTCAACAGGATTCTCCATCAAGGAGATGAAATTCTGGTTAATCCTGAAATGGTCCTGAGCAAGAATACAAGACAGGAACTTTTGCAGTGTCTTTCCCTGTCATAGTTTAACAGAAGCCAAAGACATGCAGTTAGTCAGGGTGTTTTGATCCCAAGTTCAGAGCACAGGGCTGAGTTCTTTTCCACAGAACTTTTCATGGTACGGGTAATGTCAGTTTCTGATTAAACCAAAATGGCTCCAATGGAGACGAAACGGGAAACCTTTGCCCTGACACATGATTATGTCTAAGCCTCTACCGTTATGTCCACATCTTAGAATCCCTAGTGAAACCACAGTGCTGGTTTTCCGATGTAAATGCAAGCTTAAGCTCGGACCGCAAACCTCCAACATACCAATGCAGTGTGTGAGAAGAGAATGCAGCCCTGAGTTCAGAGAGACAAGCTTTTAAAGGCAAAATGCCACAAATAAGGGACTACATGTCTTGTCATCTTGGGATTGGGCGAAGGGGATACAGAGTAAGAAGATTTCTGAAATCATTGGTCAGATTTGGGGCGCAAAACCCTAACAAAGAACCATAAGAAACTGACAAGGTATCCAAGAGGGCAGGATGTCTTCAGAGACACCTGAACCTTGTTAACTCTGTCTCACACCTTAATTGGCTGTCCATGTGGCTATCTGCTTCATATTCATTGTCTACCACAGCACATTCCTAGAGCTGAGGTCAATCCTAGGTCACTGGTTGTCTTAAGAGAAGTCCCATTTCAGTTAAATATTTCAGGGTATCACACTACCATGTTGTAAGGCCATGGCCGCCAGAGGGTTTTATCAACAGCAACTATACTCTGCTGGAATAGACTGAGGGAGGTTTCCTTTAATTTGGTTGGATAGCAGGCTATGTTGAACCTGTTGGTGTTAGGGTCCTGGAGAAGTCCCACAAAAGACCACCAATCCACATATGCAATCAGCAAGAGCATTTATTATCTCAAGAATACAAGTACCAGGCTGGAGAGATGGCTCAGCAGTTAAGAGCATTGCTTGCTATTCCAAAGGTCCTGAGTTCAATTCCCAGCAACCACATGGTGGTTCACAACCATCTGTAATGAGGTCTGGTGCCCTCTTCTGGCCTGCAGGCATATATTGTATACATAATAAATAAATATAAAAAAAAAAGAATACAAGTACCAACAGTCTGGGGTCAAGCATCCAACACAAAGGCAAAGATGGTGCTGATCCCCAAGAAAAGCTTGCAGGCTCTTTTATGCACAACTAGAGGTGTAGTAATAGGAACGGTGGGGCTGCGTCCCCAGCACTTCTGCTTATGCCCTGAAATAACAACACACAAACTGTATTCATTTAAACACTGCTTGGTCCATTTCTATTTAGCCTCTTATAGGCTAATTCTAACATATTAATTTAGCTCATTTCTAATCATCTGTGTAGCACCTCTAGGTGCGCTTACCGGGAAGATTCTAGCCTAAGTCCATCCTGGGTCAGAGCTTCATCGCGTGTGTCTCTGAGAGGAGCTCTGGAGTCTGAGGAGTCTTGCCTCACTTCCTCTTCCTCCCAGCATTCTGTTCTGTTTACTCCTCCCACCTATGTTTTAACCTATCAGGGCCAAGCAGTTTCTTTATTGCTTAACCAATGAAATCAACAGATTGATATATGACACTTCCACATCATAGAGGAATTCTAAAAGCAGTGTGATCACTCTGCCTACAATTGGTTTACACAAGTGACAATCATATTAGTAGGTTTCTAATTAGGGCTGTCAGGGTGGGCTAAGGCTAAGTTTTTCCATTTTTGGACAGTCCTAGGCTTTGTCTTATTTGGTTATTGTCTTGAGGTGAAAGACCTCCTGAGTAGGGAGACTCTCACTCAAGTCTCAAGATAACGCAACCCCCCAGGAACTTACGAGAGACCGTCCTTGCTGCAATCACATGAGGTTTATTGACAGGACGGGAACCAGCGCATTGGGGCTGACACTCATTTCCCACTCAGGGATAGAAATCGACCCCACGTAGCTGGGAGAAGGGGTATTTAAGAGAAGAAACCATAGCATAAAAATCCAAAGGGGGTAGGGAGGGCATCATTGGAAAATTCTGAAAATACCAGTGATCATTGAAAAATTCCCAAAATACCAGTGATAACCACAAGGGGATAACTCCCTGTTTCTCAAGACTATTCTCAAGATTATAATCTAACTTTATCTTCAGCTAGTTCCTGAAACAGAGTCACTGAACTGGCTAATCTAGATTTTTGATTCTTCTCTCCCTGTTTAGATTTTTGGCTCTATTTTTTTCTGCTAGAGAGGTCTGGATTTATCCAGGTCTTTCATCTCCCCACTTCTTCTAGTACCTAGTTCTAATCATAGCACTAGATTTCAGTATTTCTAGACCTTGTAAAGCACTATATTGGTAGCATAACATCAAAATCTGAACAGCACTTATTCGTTCCCTAATGAAGGTAATTAGCTTTAATTCGTTAAAGTACTGAGGGGCCTGT